AGCATAAATTGTTCAAAATGTCTTGGTATACTGACAGAGTTCCCTTCACTGGAACTAAGGGGCCAGGCCCAACCCCAGAAAAACAACTCCACACCATAATCCCCCCTCCACCAAACTTTACACTAAGTACCATTCTCCTGGCAACCGCCATACACATCCATTGGATTGCCAGACAGAGAAGCGCGATACATCACTCCAGAGAACACATCTCCACTGCACTAGAGTCCAGTGGCAGTGTACTTTACACCACTACATCCGATGCTTTGCATTGCACTTGGTGATGTAAGCTGCTCGGCCATGGAAACTCATTCCATGACGCTCTCTGTGCACCGTTGCTGTGCTAATCTGAAGACCACATGAAGTTTGGAGGTCTTTAGCTATTGACTCTGCTCAACTTCTGCACACTTTACACTGACCCCAGTCTGTCATTTTTCGTGGCCAAGTTGCAGTTGTTCCCAGTTGCTTCCACTTTGTTACAATACCACAAACAGTTGACCATGGAATATTCAGTAGCAAGGAAATTTCATTTATGGACTTGTTACACAGATGGAAACCTATCACAGTACCACGCTTGAATTCACGGAGCTTCGGTGAGACCCATTCTTTTACAAATGTTTGTAGAAGCAGTCTGCATGCCTAGGTGCTTGATTTTATACACTTGTGGCCATGGAGGTGATTGAAACACCTGAATCCAATGATTTGAAGGGATGTCTCAATACTTTTGGCAATATAGTGTATCTAGCAGACTATAGCTTGGCAGTTATCAATTTAAAATTACTGGTGACCCTGCCTTAGGTTGAGTACTAGAGGCCAACTACCACTAACTTTTTCACTTCCTAATTTCAGAATTCTTAGTTTTTCTTTGGGTGGGAGGAGTTAAATCTGTCTCAGATTTAAGCCCTTGCAAAGAACCCAAAATACAGTCTCCCTGTCCAACAATCATATACAGTGGGGGAAAAATTATTTGATCCCCTGCAGATTTTGTACATTTGCCCACTTACAAAAGAATGAAGGAGTCTAATTTTTATCTTAGGTGTATTTTAAAATGATAGAGACAGAAGATCAACCAAAAAACGCATAATACAAATGTTATAAATTGAGCTGCAGATCACTGGAGTAAAGTATTTGATCCCCAAACAAAACATTACTTGGCACTTGGTGGAGAAACCCTTGTTGGCAAGCACACAGGTAAGATGTATCTTGTAGTTGGTTACCAGGAGTGCACACATCTCAGGAGGGATTTTGGTCCACTCTTTACAGATCTTTTGTAAATCTGTAAGGTTTCTTGGCAACTCAGTTTCAGCTCCCTCCATAAATTTTCTATAGGATTAACTTCTGGAGACTGGCTAGGCCATTCCCTGACCTTAATGACATAGATCTCAGCTGTCTTAGTAAAGAGGACCGTCACTGCATTTTGCTATCACAAGGGATGTTTATTGCGATAGCAATAAAAGGAATTACATTTTTGTTTTCCTTAAGAGTGCAAAAATAAATGCAATTTTTTCAAAGCACCCATTCCACCATCTTCGTGCACAAAAGGCACACATTTGTCCTGCATGCATGTAAACAGAGATCGCCCCACACATGGGAGGTATACGAGAGAGCAATAATTCTAGCACCAGACCTTCTGTGTAGCTAACTCGTAAGGACTTTTAAAGCATCGCATACAGAGTGCATTTTTTTCCAAAAGAATTGCAACTTTACAGTTTGTATCTTATACTCTGCAAAAACTGGGTATTGCACAAATACCATTTTTTTCCAAAAGAATTGTAAACCAACCCATGTTTTTTTCTCTAGTTTGGAAGTTCTACTCATCTTTCCAGAAAACAAATAGATTTTTTACAGGCAAACAGTTTCAGAATATGCCTGGTCCTCAATTATTAATTTTTATACCCACTTTTGTTTACATCTTTTTCTCCAGAAAGGAAATACCATATAAAACACTAATACATGCACTTAGAAAAAAAAAATTGCAAGAACAGAAGGGTGAATGGGCCATTAAAATAAAGAATTCCTACAGCTAGTGTATTTATATTTCCTAATCCAGAATAAAAGCAAAAAAAAAAAAATAAATAAATTTGTATTATAAATGCCAATTTTCAAGTTAAGCATACACCACACATTAGAATAACTGCAACACAGTGTGCACCTTCCTGACCACAGGACAGGTAACAACACTGTAAATTACAGAATAAAAAAGTTCATAAGAATTCCAAATAATTGTCAGTCTCCACATTTAATACCCTCTGTATGCAGCTGTATAGATAGATATAAAAAATTTAATCACAGACATAAACAACAGCAGCTAAGACTCAAACTCTGCAGGAACTGTGATTATCTAAACAACTTGAATATTATATGCCTTTTATATATCATCCTGCATCTAAATCATAGCCAGCTGTAAGTGTTTTGTCTCCATTTTAATTATGTAGTCTGAAAATAGATTACGACAAAACCTTTAGAAAAAAAACAGTATGCGTGTAGCTGTTCGTGGAGATATTCCTAGGAGGGAAGACTTCTTCCTGGGCAGACATTACAAAAAAAAAATAAAATAAAGCTACAATACAAAATATAAAAAAAGGAATGCTTTATTTAACCATGTATAAAAATGTTAACATTACAAAACTTAAAAGTTTGCGCTCATTAACAAATCACTATCAATGGCCGAGACTACCCAAATACAATATTTCAGTGTATTCGACATAAGAGATTCCATGAGAAGATCTCAGTGCTCTTACAGGGTCACCATCCACCATTATTAAAATTACTGAAAAATAACAGTTGGTTAAAATCACGGTTCAGAGGTCTAATTATTGGAACCATTGTAACTGTTAGGCGCTAGTCCGTTTTCAGTCTTCAGAAGCAACAGCAACTTGCACAAGAAATACATTTACAGCTTATATTTACCAGTTGGGATCATAGTTATCCCACTTTACTATGAAGGCAAACATTTTACTCAGATGAATAGTGACAATATTTCTAAAGGCCCCACTCCCTGTGGTTACCATTGATCCTGCACCACTCCAGCTGGCATTGGAATCCCATATGTACCACCTTTGTTTTGAGACTAAGGTCAGTGGCAACATCACAAACCTGTCATGTGACAATGCAGGGGTCTAGCAACAAATTGCTAGGCTCCATCGATGGAAGGTCACATGCTTTCCTATACACAGAAGTAATTGGTTTTCCAACTGGTGACAGGAGAAACGCAAGATCACTAGTAACAAGTATAACTAGGATGGATGGGTCCTTCATAAATGCAATGTCAATTTGATCTGAATGGACGACACTATGGCAGCACTCCAACTAAAACTGGTTGTAGCTTTAGATAGTATGGAAAGACAAAAACCCCCCACCCCACACACATTTCTTTACAGCCCTTACAAAACCGATTTCTGCATGAATGCAGAAATAACTACTGGGACACAGTAAGTATAACACTATAAAAGCACAGCCATGCATGAGCATGCTATAAATCAGCCAATATCTATGAAATGCAGATGGATCAGTTTTTGTTGACAGCCTTTAAAAACAAAACTGGGAAAACTATGGAAGCTGCCATTAAACTTGTAAAAAATGCAAGTGTCTGGCTTTCTGGTGTTTCAATACCTTAAGTCTCCAACTCTGAATGATTAGCGAGTCAGACAACATGCTTTTTACATATCTAACTCAAAGTGTTGAAGCTGTAGGATTAGCATGAAAGGCAATTGGTTTTCAGACAAGGGTGTGCCAAGGTCTTTAATAACCTTAGCTCTCATTCACACAGACAACTATAATGTACAACCAATGTTTGCCTGCACAGGGATTACAGGTATTCCATACATCCCCGTGCAGGAAGCCTGTTCATTTTATTTGGGTAGGGACACAGTGGATGCACAGACACAGCCGCTGCTCCCAATTTGACAGTTGTACGCTCTAGTACGCCCGTGTGAACGAGACCTTATAGTATAGGTTTATCTTTGCAGCTCTCATTTCATGGTGTCTCATATGCACGGACATTCCAATATGCTTCATTTTTAATATCAAATTACAGGTATGTTTATGTGAAGTATACACTGAACTATTTTCAAGGTGGATCAGTTGTCAGACAGCTTCAATAAAAACTAAATAATGAGCAGGGGGAGGGGCATAGTCTTACTACACAGTAAGGGAATTTTACAGTATTTTTATACTGTATTAAAGAGAAACTCTGCCTATATACAAATATACAACAGTTTGTACAAAAAAGTTGTAGAGATGCATGGATTTCCAAATAACCGTTAATAAATCCTTGCATTAAAAACTACAAAAACCCTGCAATTTTGTATGTTCACAAGATAAAATATTGCTGGTAACTTTTTATGTACAAAAATAGCTTAAAACCTGCAATTTGTCTCAAAACAACAGAACGAATCCTAGGCGCAAAAGGCTGAATCTAGGCAAGAAAGACAAATGCAGGAAAAACAAAATCATAAAAACTTAGCTAGCCAAGATGAATATATAAAGCTATGCATTTTCAAGTCAAGTGGCCTTTTTCTTATATACATCTTATATACAATAATACAGTAGACAAAAGTGTTTTTCTAAATCTTATTCTGAAGATTAAGCATGTATTCCAATTTGAAAGACACCCATTAATTTATCAAACAAAACCTCTATATCCGGCAGCACTGATCAAGTGTATTCTGGTGGCAGGAAAGTCTCCTTGCTATCGGAATACAGTAGCTCAGCAAGGAGGATTCCGGCATCCACAGAGTGTGTGGATGGGGGAATCTAGTAATTAGATCTTGCTTGGTGGGCTATCAGGTAGCATTGTCACACGGACCCTCAACAGTCATTAAAAAGGAAAAAATGTTTTATTGTCTCACAACAGAGACATATAGGTAATCTTCCTAACTGAACAAACACCCGATATTGAGGATCAATTTCAAGGAAGTTTGCTTTCTGCTGTCATCACCCATACTGTGTTCAGTCCTCCTGCTCCAGCTCACGTTTCAAGCTGTAAAGATAGGAAAAAAAGTTCAGTATGACCTCAGGCAAATGTATGAATTTTTTGAGCATCTACAAGCTTGACAAATACCATACCTGTTCAGATATGCATGTACGTTGTCATAACCATGGTACTTCGCTAGGTAAACAAGCACACCAGTGGCACAACGGCCATTACGCTGTCTACAGAAACTGCAGTTACAGATCCCTCTGCATGGTGGGCAGTTCCACTCCTAAAAAAATAAAAAAAATTGCAGAACTTGATTACAAAGTTAAAAACATCCCAACAGTTACTTTATGGCACAAGAACTATTATCTAGCATATTGTTAGCTATTCAGTGTTGTACATATGTCATTGCTACGCAAAGATGGGTAATTGACTTACTGGATCCAGCAATGCAGTCCTCACATCCTCTCCATAACGGTTCTTTAGGCAGGGCCCACAGAACTGGCCCCTCACTCCTGTGCACTCAGGATTCCGGCAGCTGGTTTTGGTGTCAATGGTCTTTTGACGGCACTGATGGCAAGTTGAACCCTAAAATAAAAGCACATGCAGTTAAAGCCCAACTCCATCCAAATTTTGATTTATAGTAAGAGTGGGGAACGCTTACAACTTCTCAGGCTTTAAGTGACACTTTTACAGGTAAATAAAACCAAATACATTGAAATGCACAAATTGGCAACAGGGTTTCAAAAAAACAGGGCACACAATTGAGCTTGTAAAGATGAAAAAAAAAAAAAAAAAAAAAAGACAATGCAGGAGGTATCAACCTAGAAAGCAGCAAATATACTACAGCTGATGAAACGATTGCAGGAATTGAAAAGATACACATGATAGGCTCCAAGGGCAGGTGTTTCTTTTAACATTTCAGCTGCAAATTTTTGGGTATATTATTAGGTGCCCAGTACCTTAATTCTTTATTTAATTTTTTTTTTTTTTTTTAGCCAAACTGGTCAATAATAAGGTGGATGCTCAGCAAAACGTTTTTGTCAAACGGCTGAAATGTACAAAGGCCCTCTGAGCTCGTTCAACATGCTGCCCAGTGCGAGTGTGTTCCCTCTGCCCAGATGCAGCATACAGCCTCTCATTAACATGAATGGTTGTGCACCGCTGAACTTCTGTATACGGACAGTGGTGCTCTCAAACACAGATTTTATACTTTTTTTCTGCAAATGCTCATTCACTCTACTTGTGAGCACTGTTGTATACACAAGTACAATGGCGCAGAGCCATTCATGCAATAACCCCAAATTAAAATGGTTGCAATACCATTGCATCTTAAAGTGTTACTAAAACCCACAATAGTAAAATCAGTCTGTATATGCAGTAAAGCATGCTTGTTATACTCACTGTAACCTAAGGGGTTAATCCTCCACACTGTGTGAAAAGGCTGTTTGATCCCGTCTTCTCTGATCCTTCCCTTCTACTGTCCCCAATCCATCTACTGATAGCACAGAGCTCTTGGAGTCACTCTGCACATGCTCAATTGTGTGTGTATTGCTAAAGGTTTTTTTTTTTTTTCTTTGGGAAAGTGTATGTGATCAGCACAGGGCCAAACAGCACTGTCCAGACAGAGGGTCAGGGGTTATGCATCCTCATAGGACAGTGTGAGGAGAATGAAAACTCCTACAAGCTTTAACCAGTGCTCAGATGGACACTGATAGATGTCACAAGACTGCTCTAACTGCTGATGGGAAAAGGCATTTAGAAGTTTAGATTTACTAAAATAATTGCATTTCCATGCACTGTGTACTGTGGGAGACCAGATAGTGAATGCAGGGTCCTGGGTTTAGGAACACTTAAAATAGGTCTGTCTACAGAAAGTAAAAAACAAAATTTCCTCAAAAAGCAAAAATACTGCAGTTACTGTGAAACAAGCCTATCAAAAATATTGATACTCACAGTCACTCTATTGTAGACCTTCTCTCGTACATTGAAACATATTGCATCCAGCTCCTCCTCTGTGATGTCATCCACTGGTCTTACAATGTGTGGCAGAGTCAAGGAACTTTGCCGACGGGCCCGTGGTACATAACTCTCATCCTGAAAGTCAATAAAAAAAAAAGTACAAACTCACAAAGTGTCTCTTAGAGGCTGCTTGATGTGATATAATCAGAAGATTTACATGGATTCCTCCATCTCAGATTTTATACCATCCATCTAACCATGGATTGGTTTTCACCAGTTGAGAGAAACATGGGCACCTCTTGAATTTTTATTTTTTAAAAAAGGTGGAAGATTCAGGCCAGCTGTCACCCTTCCTTCACCACTTGTGTAGTCACATGAGCAGAAGAAACAAGCATGTAGCCAGTTAAGCATCAGAACACCTGATATTCACTTGCTCCAGGTCAGTGATGCCCTGGATAGAGGACAACAGGCAGGAAGACTGAAATTTGCAGAGACAAGCCACCGATAGTAAACCTTACCAATTCTAAAATACTGATATGATCAAAGAACGACACACATCTAACATAGGTCTGTTGTATAGAACAATTTATAACTGCATTTCCTCTGAGCCGTTTATGCTTCGT